ACCGGCGTTGGGATGGCCACCGTGAAAACCCGGCGCCCCATGGTGATGGCCATGATTTCCCCAGCCACGACCACCTCTATGATTGCGACCTCCACCGCGATTCCACCCACCACGACCATGGTTGTGATATCCACCATGATAACGACCATGGTAGCCAAAACCACCATGTCCGCGATCATCAAATCCACCATGTTCACGACCACGTCCCCGGCGACCTCGGCCACTTGACTGGAAAACCCCTCTACCACGATGGCCACCACCTCTGCCTCCAAACCCCGGATCAAATCCTAGGTTGAAGCCCGGGTTGAAAGCCGCCGGGGCACCTCCACCACGTGCACCATGGTTGTCGTAGCCTCCCTGATTCGCCATAACCTTCCCCCTGCGCACCACCTCGGCAAAGGTTCTTTTCGCCCATGGCAGTACGACCTTTTTCCTGTGGCGGCTGTGGGTTCTAGGTTTTGTTCCAGTCCTTGCAAAAAGGAAACACAGCCCACGGGTGGGCCTAAAATATTTTCCAGGCCCAATTTGTACCTTCTCTGGAATCCCTGGTAAGCCTTGTTCCATATTCACTCCCTCTCGAGACCGATCCAGTTCTGTCTTACGCGGTGATGCCGTCGCGGCAGGAGATGGACCGGTAGACAGAGGCGGAAAATTAGGATCACGGCACTGGGGTTCCTCCAATTCGAATTTTTTTGAAACTCGATCCTTCTTCCCCGAGACCATGAAGCCCACCGGCGAACTCACCGATGACCTCACCGTCTAGGGTTTACACCGCTGGTACGTCGCCTTGGCAACACAGTCCCCTAGAGTTCTCGGAGGAGAAATCCTAGGAGCGGGTAGAGGGCCTTGCCATGGTTTCCCGGCACCCTTACGTTGCACAAGATTGGACACCAGTTTGAGAGGAGCACGGCGATCTGCCGAGGTTTTACCTGATCCAAGTGCTTCTTCTGCCCTAAAGAGGTCTTCCACGGTGTAGCCCGCGGCGATTGCCTCCTCAACGAGCTCCGGCGTTGAGATTTCGATGTTGCCGTCGTCCGCCGAGAACCCCACTGCGACTGCCGGTACTGAAGTCGGCGATGAACAGTCGATCTCCGCATCGATTGATTCATCAGAATCTGAATCAGCGCCGGACGACCAGAACTTGGAGACGAAATCGGCGCCATGGACTGGATTCGGTTTCTGGCTCAACACCGCTGCCAACTTGATGATCCGCGAGGCATCACGTCCTTCTGATCGGCGCTGCGCCACATCCTCGATGATCTCCTTCTCGCTGGCGACGTAGTCGTTGACCTCCTTACTCCGAGGGAGCAAGTTCTTCGTGATCGCCAGCGCCAGGGTAAGGTGCCTTCTCCGTGACGACACATGTGTCCCGCGTCGCCGGAAAAGGACCACGCTGGCCCCCACCATCCTTCACCGACGAGCTTGCGCCACCGACGACCACCGACCTCTCCTTAGCCCCGCAAGGAGACCCTCGCCCACTCTCCAGAAACTCGCTTGGATCACCGGCGGCGACCACCGCGTCTTCCGGATCGCCACCGGATTCTCCCTCAACGATCATATTTTTGGTTGCCTTTGAACATCGTACTTAAATATACATTATGTTTAGATACATATTAAAATTAATGTATTTAGAAAAGTCAAAAGTCTTATAATTTGAAATGGAGAGGGTAGTTTTCATATCATGTCACATCATATGGAAATCACTCTGGAAATTAGTGTTCTCAGTGCACTTAGGGTCTGTTTGGATCATCTAAAACTAAAGTTTATAGATGGACTAAAGTTTAATCCAAGATACATAGACTAAAAGCAAGTAGCTTTCTTATATAGACTCATATAATAGTCCATATCAGCTCACATTTGTCAGTTAATGAACTAATTGCTAGTTGGGTTGAAAACTAAAAACTAGTCCACTTTTAGGTGAGATTTAACTACTGGAGCAGAAGATTAAAGTTCAAGTTGTTTCGTATACAAGTCAAAGTTCAAAGTAGAGTTCTGCCATTAGTCTTGAGTATATATGTTCGTATCAGTAATCAGTGCAAGTTTGTTTAGGTCTCTCTGGCAATGCAAATTGCTGTTGTTGCTGTCCGGTGGTTGGCTTGGCTCTGTGGCAAACAGTGAATCTTATTTGATGAAATAGCGTGTTGACTCTTTTTAGGCCATATAATGGTGACGTGCCCCTGTTTTTGAGTTTCTTATTGGCACTAAGTTAAAAGTTTGCATGTTAATGACCTTCGAAAGCATCAAAAGGTGAGAGGTTATTTTTGGAGGGGAAACTATGCGTTTTTGGGATCTTCGTGCTCCGTGGTTAGAACCTCTAAGGGGCCCCAACGGTTTGGACTTGAGTAGGTTGAAAAAAGACATCCAACCTTGGCAAGAACGACGTTCAGCAGAATATATGACCCATGCTCCTTTAGGCTCTTTAAATTCCGTGGGTGGCGTAGCTACCGAGATCAATGCTGCGATATCTAGCTCGTTCTCTTCCTGATTTAGAATGATTGCTCGATCTTAAGGCCCCGTTCACTTCGCTGAAAAAATAAACCAAAACACTGTTCCGACTGATTTGTTGTGAGAGAAAAACATTGTTCCGGCTGAAAAAGACGGATTATAAGAGAAGTGTACTTTAATTATTTCTTCTGTTCTGGGGTATACCCTATGAAGAGCTGCTGCTGCTGCTGGAACATGTTCCTTTGAAGCAACAGCTTGGTCAGATCACGCATAGATTCTGACAATGACCTGAAAAGGATTCTTCATCAGCTATGAAATGCTGTGGTTGTGTAGGCTGACATCTTAGACCATGTTCGCTTCGCTGAAAAAACAAGCTGAAACACTATTTCGACTGATTGTTATGAGAGAAAAACACTGTTCCGACTGAAAAAACAAGCCGAAAAAAACGGATTATAAGAGAAGCGAACAGGGCCTTAACCTTGAAGAAAGGAGATTGATTGTTTGCAAGGCATGCAATTCAAGCTGCTTGGTGCAGTGCATTTCATTTCATCATGTTAAAAGACCCCCAAAATCCAACGATCGAATAGGGAATCCAGTTCATCTGTGCAGATGAGCGCCAAGATCAATGGGGCAGCAGCAGCTGCTGCATTTCTGCTCTTCTACACTCACCTCTACTTCCCAACCACTGCTCATCTCTACTCCTCAACCACTCCATTGCTTGCAGCCCTCGTTAATCTTACAACGCCTTCCCTTCCATTATATCCACTTTCGGTTGATTCCACCTCTACCCATCATCAGTATGACTGTAAATACAACCCGCTATGCGATGACTTCCCACCGGATTTCCCCCCGCCCGACACATCAGCAGTGTCCATCTTCTGTGTTGACCCCAATGGCTGTTGTGAATTCACAACCGTGCAGGCGGCGGTCGATGCAGTTCCAAACCACAGCAGCAAGAGGAATGTTGTGTGGATCAACAAGGGCATCTACTTGTAAGCAGTTCTCCTTGCTCAGGCTTTTAGATAGAGATTTCCTTCCCAGAATTCAGCATTGCGCTGTTACTGAGTGTACTGCTACTGAAGCTGCAGTATTGTTGCAGTGAGAAGGTGACAGTCCCAGCATCCAAGCCCAATATCACATTCCAAGGGCAGGGGTTCGACCTGACAGCGATCGCGTGGAACGATACTGCCAAATCAGCGAACGGCACATTCTATAGCGCCTCAGTCTCTGTTTTCGCATCAGGATTCATTGCGAAGAACATAAGCTTCATTGTAACTACCTAGATGCTGCACAATGTATTCAGCTAGGTTGGAGGCTTCACCTTGGGTTATATTGACAAATCTCTTGATCATTTGACACCAGAATGTAGCACCAATCCCAAGGCCTGGCGCTGTCGATGCACAGGCAGTGGCGATCAGGATCAATGGTGACCAAGCAGCATTCTGGGGTTGTGGGCTTTGGAGCGCAAGACACACTCCATGATGACAGAGGCCGGCATTACTTCAAGGAATGTTTCATCCAGGGCTCTATTGACTTTATCTTTGGAGATGCTAGGTCACTCTATGAAGTGAGTGAAGAAATACTTAAATGGATTGCAAAATAATGTATTGAAGTTACCAACTGCTCTCTTACCTTTTTGCTCTCCAGAATTGCAGATTGATATCCATTGCAGATCCAGTGCCTTCAGGGCAAAGATCAATTACTGGTTCAGTCACTGCACATGCCCGGGTATCAGAAAATGACAACACTGGCTACTCATTTGTCAATTGTAGCATAGGTGGCACTGGTTGGATATGGCTTGGACGAGCATGGAGACCATATTCTCGGGTCGTCTTTGCCTACACGTCAATGTCAGACATCATAGCTTCTGAAGGATGGAATGACTGGAATGATCACACAAGAGATCAGTATGCGTCCTCCAATGTTAGTTTTTATTCTTATCTGCAAAACAGAAAGTACATTGACATCAGCTTTTGTGCAATTTGAATTTTCAGGACTGTATTTTATGGAGAGTACAAGTGTACAGGTGATGGTGCAAACCTGGCAGATAGAGTGCCTTATGCTCAGAAGCTTAGTGATGTGCAAGTGTTACCTTACCTAAACACATCTTTCATTGATGGAGATCAATGGTTGAAACCATACACTGACTCACTAATATCTGATTGAAGCAATTTTAGGTAAAGAGCTGGGTCACAGACTTGAAACAGGGAAAATAGAACACCTCATTGTTTGATTTTTCTCATATCATAGTTCATAGAATCAAGAATTGCAATTGTGCAAAGATAATAAATATTTGGTACATATGGTGTTTTCAACAAATATTACACAAAAGCATGTCATAATCTACATTTGAACAGCACATGAGAATGCAATACGCATTAATGCTAGGGGAGAAAGGAGGCAACTTCAGGCGTTGCATTACAATATTTGATCCTTGCATAACATACAATAGTTGACTAATATCAACATCCTATTTGCAAGAGTAGTTATGTTGTAATCAAAATTGGGCAGATCTCATCTTCCTGTATTCAGATTGCTTCCAACAACTACTATGCCTAGAATGAAATCTCACTTGGTGCATGGAATGTTCTTCCTCTGCATATGGCTTCCAGATTCTCTCCAGCATAAGAGCAAAGCGGAGAAACTTCAACTCCTGGAAGTACAGGCAATGTTTTAACAACAATCAATGAGTTCCTATCTAAAATTCTTACTTTGTTGACAGATTCCAAAACACATATACTAGGGCTGCAATTACCTGTCATGTACAAGGGCACAGAATGAGTCAAGAAGCCACCTGCAGCAACCACCCATCGGCTATGAAGCCGAAGCAGCATTAATCTGGCACTATCAGGAGTGTCATAAGTTGCACCATTAGCATTCTTCACTGGAGCAAATTCCTCCTCACGCAAAACCTGTAAATTTAGGTGTGAACAAGCTCTGATAAAATATTTCCAAGTGATAACTACTATGTGCTTTCAGAAATGAGATTAAGAACAACATGGCTTTATTTTGAGCAATAGTTCATAAGAAATCAAACCTCAAAAAGAGCTGTTGAAGGAGAATAGTTGAACACATCAAATATAAATTGTTCAAGCTTTAAGCCTGATGTGTACCCATGGACTGAAGGAATTCTCTTCTCCGCTAGATGGTAACTGCACACAAACAATGGATAAAATTGTAAGCCAACATTCTATTATTAATTGTTGGTTTAAGATCGACAGAAATTACAGGTTCTCCAAAAAAATGCAGCAATTACATTATATATTAAATAAAGGATTAATGCAACATGAATGGATAAAGTGCAAGAATAAGGGGGAAAAAGGAATACTCACATGCTATCCTTTTCAAGACTGTTTGTCACTTGGTTCAGAAAATCCAAAGTGAACATATGCAAGCAGACCTATGAAATAAAAGAAATACACAATTGTTGGTGCATATATATTGGGGGAGGGGAGGGGTGTAGGAATTATACATTGCTCCAGCAATAACGAAGGCGGCCAGTAGTTTGATTGATTTCAGTTGTCATAGCTGCATCCATTTCACTGTATTCAACTACAGAGAGGGGTCCACCCTTTCCACGCTGAACAAATACTCCAACTTTCTCTTGTGGATATGCCTGAACAGCACAGCACGTAATGTAAACACTCATTGAGATACATATTTCAAGCAAACTGCCAATCTATTAGGCATGGGAAATCTATGGCCCTACCTTCCTGACAACCTTAGCGGCAGCAGATGCACCTCTGTCAATGAAGTATCCTAGGAATGTTGGATCTGCAACACGGACCTGTATCAAATAAATTAATTATTTAATGACAATAAAAAAGGAAGGCTCCATGAAATAAACTGTATAAAAAACATACTTACCAATACATTATCAACTCCATAGCAATCTACATACTTAACACCTTTTGCAGCCATATCATCGAGCAACCTTTTAGATTTTAGAGCTGGGTGCAGCCAAAGAAAAAAAACAGAAAGTCATGACTAACATTAATAGCATACATTTACGATTTACCACATCATGATTTAGGGGATTACCAGCATATACTCCGCCATTGCCATCGGGAGCCTTTGCTACCTGGTTTTCAGCATAATGTTGCAAAAGAAAGATGACATTACTACAGAGATCCACAATCTGGAATCGTTGCTAGTTCAACCCATTTAGTGTAATGGATTGATGCCATAACATTACACTCTAAATTAATTTCTCTTAAATAAACAGAAACAAGAGGTACCTTATATGGTGTCTCCATAATAAATCTTCCATCATGAGATACACATGGAATAGTACCCTGCTGGAAAAATGTCACCTGCGAAGACACGAATAAAATCAGCTGTAATTCTTATAGTAGTATTTAGGAAATTCATGTATCGAAGTCAAAGAATCTCTGATCAAAACAAAGAATCATGTAATTATTCTTACTTGATTAGGCTCTAAACCAAAATATCTGTGGGTTTCAAAGAACTTTCGGGTCGCTTCATCGGTAAAGGGACTAGTCATTATATACCAGTGAATTGGTACTGTGCTACCTGGGGCTGCAAGTAGTTAAGAACAGTTTTAGCAAAAGAATGTTTAACTAAATCAGACATAAATAAACTAGTAAAAAAGCGATTAAAACTAATTTACCGTCAGTGCATTGAGCAGCCAGCTTCTGAATACACAAAATCCGTTCAGCTTGTAGTTGGAAAAGTGACTTCCTAGATGGAAGCCCGATACCTAAGCGGCAAAGGGAAAGGAAATGAACACTATGAATATTGATTAATAAAAGACTTATGGAGTTTTAGGTGTTCCTCAAAAAGTGATACCATATTCTGGTAGCTAAGTGAACAAACAAATGCAGATGACACATGCAAAATTATTATCCTCACATCGATCACAAGGAATAGAGAACATGGGATGGTATAGTATTGTTGTTCTATGTATAATCTACAACGAGAATAAAAGAAATCTGTAAAGTAGACATTCACCCAAAAAAAATATGTCCCTTTTAGGTCTAATTTCATAGCACTAGTTGAAGAAAGCAAAAGTAAGATTCAATGGCTTGGGTGGAAAGACTTACTGAAACATCCCTTAGGGTCAGAACTGCCAAGCCTAGTCCCCTGTCCACAATTGATATAAAAAACAAATTGCAAAGTATATGAGTGTTTTCCACCATACTGTAGTACGTAACATGGACAACCACATAGCAATCTAAGAGCAACTCCAAGAGACTCTTTATATCCTTCCTAATTTAAAGGAATAGAGATTTTGGTGAAAAATACGTTCCAGCAGCCTCTTTAATTGGATCTCCAAATATAGACATCCTCTATTCCGGATTCTTTCTAGCCAAAGATCGAAAGCAAGAATGACTCTCTAGAGTGCGCAAAAGATATAGAAAAGCTGTTGGAGGGTACAAAGATATAGAAAGCGATTTATACTCAAATGACTTTACAAATGATGATTTAGATAGTAAATTTTAGAAAGCCTCTTGGAGATGCTCATCTTTCTAAAACTCACTCTCTATATCATCATTTGGAGATCCATTTGCATAAAAATCGTTTTCTGTCTTTCCACTCTCTAACAACTTTTCTATATCTTGTGCGCACTCTAGAGAGTCATTCTCGTTCTCTATCTTTGGCTAGCGAGAAATCCGAAATATAGGATGACTATACTTGGATAACCAATTAAAGAAGTTGTTGAAGGGTATTTTTTCACCAGAATCTCTATTCCTAACAATTAGGAACAATATAGAGAGTCTCTTGGAGTTGCACTAAGTGAGTTCTAGAATACCTGGCCACCAGCCAACAAAACAACGGCCAACTTCCCCTCTGAAATGGCTCTCAAGCCTCTCCTCCACCACCTTTCTTTGTCCTCAGGAGTTCTGTCGTCCACCGTCGAGACACTTGACTCTGGCACAGGCTCAAAGGTCGGTACAGGAGCACCTGTACTTGCATTAAAACGCCATCAAATATTTGAGCACTCAATGGAACTTATATTGCATACTGAAGCACGCTAAGTGAAAGCTCACCTTGTGATCTAAGTGAGCATCGAATGATCCGATCAATCCTCGGAAGATCTAGGCTCTGAAATTTGAATCATAAAGGGAAGTCAGCCGCAGTCAATCAGGCAAGTTCAGTGACACCATCGCATTCGCTTCGCATATGAAATAACAATTGAGATCAGTGCTCATTGCTTAAGGGCAACATCAGCTCGATTATGAACATTAGAGCCAAGGATCACACTCCTGCTACATCAAAACAGCTTGACTTTTCATTTATTTCATTCACTATTTTATATGTGACATAAGTTGCATCCTAAATCCTGTCACAACTGCAACGCCAAAATGAATTGTGCCCTCGGGATCAGATTGCAACAGAAAGAACAGATTTTTACAACGAGTCCTTGTTTAAAAACCAAGTTTTTGTGACGAGTCCTTATTTCAACAGAAAGAAGAAATCTTTAGGCAGGCCAAATCTTTATGTGGCTGCTCACCTCAATGTCCCGGATGAGGTGGTCGCGCTCCTCGGGCGCGAGCTCATCCCAGAAGGCGAAGGCGCCCTCCTGGCCGTAGTCCTTGAGCCTCTCCAGCAGCTCCTGCGGCGGCGCCGCGCCCCACCTCCCCGCCGCCGGGGCCGGCGCCCGAGCCGCCACCACCATCTCCGTCATCTCTCAAGCCGCAGCAGCAACCCCACCGAGGAAGAGAGATCTTGAGATCTACGACACGACTGGGCAGTGATGATCTACGGCGGGTACGATCCGATCTCGGGGCCGCCGATTAATTAGGACGAGGCTAACTGATTAGCGTCGTGACTCGTGATTGGATCGTGTCAGCGTGGGATGAGGAGACAGGAGAGGTGCTCTGAAGTCTGCAGTGCAGTTCGGTGGTCGGCGTGGCCGGCAGCGGCAGATGCCCATATTCCGTTCCAGGGCGTGTTTAGTTGCCCAAACTTTACACATCTAATGCACGGAAGCGGCACTCTAGCATTTCGTTTGTATTTGATAATAATTGTTTAACCGTTGACTAATTAGGGTTAAAACGTTTGTCTCGTAAAGTACAACCAAATTATGTAATTAATTATTTTTTTTACCTATATGTAATACTTTATGTATGTGTTTAAAGATTTGATGTGATATGATGTGATGGAGAATCTTACACTGTATAAACTTTGGAGGTGTAAAGTTGGCGGAACTAAACAAGGGCCCAGAGAATTTTAGAGCCGGGTGCTTCTACTTAGGGGCAAAAGGGTCAAACCACCTCTGTGAAGACCGCTTGCTCCAGTAGAAAATTACACCTATGGGCTAAGGATCAGATTTTGTTACTCTCTGTCTCATAAAATGTTAAGACACATGTATGGAGTATTAAATATATATTAAAAAATAACTAATTGCACAGTTTACGACTAATTTGTGAGACGAATCTTTTAAACATAATTAGTTCATGATTTGACAATGTGGTAATGATGGATTAATTAGGCTTAATAAATTCGTCTCGCGGATTACTGACGGATTTTGTAATTTGTTTTTTTATTAGTATCCGAACACTCCCATACAATACCCGATGTTACACCATGAATTTAAACAAGACCTATGATAATATTTTATTAGGCACTGAATCAAAGGCGCGAAATTGAGCTCACCTGCACGCACGAGAGGTCCAAAGCATTTCAATATACGTATAAATATAGATTAGATTATAAAAGCAAAATAAATTGTTTAAAAGATGTAAAATACTCGTATGCATTTGCATGTGATGTTTTTATCATGTGGAGCATGTATTTTTAATAAGAGTGAGAATATCTATTATAAAAGTTCACACAACCACGATACAAAAGAGTTCCTTTAAGAAAAAATAAAACATCGAGCTACTTAATGTAAAAACAAGAAAAGGAAACGAAAAAAAAAGAACCAAAGAGAACAACCAAGTCCATCGATGAAGAAGCTCTTGACACCACACGGGAAACTCAAGCATCTTGAAAACAGTTGAAACCCAAGTAGACACCTCCATGATGGGCTAAGAGAGGGCAACCGGCTCCAAGGTGAAGCACCCAGTTGTCCTACTCCTAGAAGTTCTAAGTGGCCAAGACAAATAATGTGTCCAACATTTTTCTAAGAAATTTTCTAAAGCATTTGGGACCAACAACCTGCCAACCGCAACGGTGCCATCAGTAGTCATTAGCACAATAAGTGATAAGCTGAAATGACCTGGGGAGCAGAACCAAGTCTCCTGACCATAGACGCAACCCTCAAGCAAGTGGTTGATAGTGTATGGATCTTGTTCATATAGGGTGAAGGTATTATCATCTTACATGGCATGCATCTACAATCTCTTTAACATCCAAAGGCGACCTAAGAGAGCCAGCCAAATGAAGAAATAACGCTTTTTGGGTGCCCATGTCTTCTGAAGAAATTTGATCCCTTGAACCTCCAAGCTCCATAGGCCAAAGAAGAGGGAAATTCTTCATAGAAGGCCACTTCCAACGGAAAGTATCCCCTTCCTCGCGATAGTTGGATGTGTTTGAGTCTCCCCAGAATCTGCATGTATTTTAACAATCCTTAAAGTGACAGAGCATGACTATTTTCTTTGATCCAATGCTAATCAGTCAAGGTTTGTAGATATTTTGGTTGTCCCTAAATTTCAGTAGAATCAAGTTGTGCAAGGCTAGGGTTGTTTTCCAGCAATGATGCTCGATCAAACTAACAATCTGACCAAAATAAAAGCACACTCTCCATCCCTAACATCATGGAGATCAAGGCTCAAACATGGCCTTTGTTGACATCTATCTTGACAAGTAGCACCACCCCAAGTACACAACTTATCGGTGCAGGCCAGTCACAGCCATCCCATATGTAAAAGCCTAGTTGGGCACCCTGAGATTGGAAATACCCCGGGCCCGACCCTAAGCTCTTTTAGCCAGCATGCCCTTATTCAAGCGACCTCACATTTGCCCTAGAAACAATGTCGTAGTCCAAAGGAACACTTGTAAAAGAAAATGGAGTCGACCACCCGAGGAGAAGGGCCAATGGCAATACCGAGGTAACACAAGGATTGAAAAGAGGTTGGTTGCATGAGGATAAGCCTACCCTCTAATTGAGCAGGCGACCTTTCCATCCTAGAATTCAACTGGTGACTTTATCAACCAGATGCTGGAAGTCATCATTAGAGAGCTTGTGAATTGAAATGGGGTCCCCTCCTAGGTATTTGCAACAGAAATATGCAACCACATGAGGAAAAATCTCCTTAGCCAATTGAATGTTCCAGTACGAGCAGTGGATTGAAAAGAGCTGCGTGATATTGGTTGCCGACCTCCAGGTTCCCTCAAAAAGGAGAAAATTTTCCTTAACGAGGGACGCCATGACTAACAACCTAAACATCTTCAAGAAGACCAATGTCATCGATGTAGAGAGACACCCAATGGTGGACCCTATGAAGCTATGACAATCTGGTGGTACAAGAAGCCCACTCATATCCGCTATGGAGAGCTAAGCTAAGGCATTCCATCACTAAGAGTAAGGGCATAGGGGACAGCAAGTCCTACCGAAGGCTGCGACCATGGCAGATGCGACGACCGAGGGCACCATTGGTGAGGACATTTGATGCTGGTTGTGGACAAAATGATAAAAAAATCTAGTATTTTCAAGCCCCTAGGAACCATGTATTGAAGGATGTCCAACAGAATTTTTTTTTAAAAAAACAAGAAACGAAGTTGAACGCCTTGGCCGATCTATCTTTAGGAGCAGTCGAGTCGACCATTTGGCATAGAGCGCTTAATGGTGTCTTGCAATATCTAAAGTTTACTTTGGTAGGGACCAACCAAGATTGGGAGCGAAGGTGTCAATCTATTAACGAGAATTTTGGAGAAGAATTTTCCAAAGCTATGTTCTATAAACGAGGTTGATAGGTCTATAATCTCCAAGCTCCTTTGGCTCGTCCCTTTTAGTAAGAAAGTTTTTTTTTTGTGGTGGTGGTGGGGTGTGTGGGGGAGTTGAGTAGAGGGAGTGATGCAAGCCGTAGAGTCTTACCGCTTGTGACCGGAAGATTCTGGGTTCGAGTCACGGTCTCCTTGCATTGCACAGCCGAGGGTAAGCCTTGGCACTGACACCCTTCCCTAGACCCGCACAGAGCGGGAGCTCTCTGCATTGGGTATGCCCTAAGGCCTCAATGATTCAAGTGATGAATGCATATTCAGTCATATGTTTTCCTAACATATCATTGTAACCTTTCCAAACTAAATGAAACAAAGGGTACTAATGTTTGCAATATAATAGCAGTTGGAATGGCTTTACACCTCCAGGATTAAAAGGTGATAAACACATTATCTCATTTTTTTTCTGTTTATTGTGTTTTATAAGTCTATAATACAACGTGCCCTTGACCATTACCTTTTACGTATTCATTGTTCACAGTTATTTAAAATACTCATTTGAAAGTCATTGTCATGACAAATTTACCAAATGTTATTTTCATGTGACAGTCTTAATAATTTGTATATACGTTGGTCGACGTTTACAAAGCTTCACTAAATGTAGTAAACACCATTCTCTTAGTAACGGAGGGCTATTCAGTAAAATATCAGGTGTTTATTATGGATCGGGAGGGTGCTATTGCTACCCACTAGTACAAAAAGCTGGAACACAGCTTCGTGTATAATACGTGCAAATTCTCAGGCTTCGCGTTGTACTACTATGTGCTATCTCTTGCTATGAAGCATCTACCATTTTTTGTCTAATGTTTCGACACACTCCAGCCAGCAACGGCATATAAGAACAAGGTGCATCATAACTGCAAGCCAAGCCAAAAAAAAAACACTGATTCAAGTAGCCAACCACGAGCCTCAAGATTCAGCAAACACCACACAAACAGCGGATTAGCGCTTCGCAATTCCGCTGAAACATAACTCAACTGTGACAGTGTGGCTACTACATTTGCGTGCTCAAAATGTCCGGAAGAACAGTGCATCTGCACAATAATTAGAGCCACATAGGCCCTGAGGGAGCTTTTTAAGTTAGAAGTAGCTAGTTTACAACGAATAGGTTTATTAGGCAACTGCACAGAAGCAACATATGGAAAACATGATCCAGATCAGCTACTCGACAGTCTCTGTGAAGCCTCGTTGATGGAACCGGACATCATTCAGTCGAGTGTATTAACAGTCTAATAAGGCTAAGAAGCTACTGTCTTTTTACAAAATGTGTCCTCTCGGATTACACATTCAGATCAGAGCGCTAACAAGTGTGCACGACTATTGCTTTGGGTTTTGGCCACTAGCCTTTCCCTCCGATTTGCCTTTTCACAGGTACAAAATGCTATTGCATTTTTTTTCTCCCTACACTGAATTCATTGGGGAGGGAACCAACTGCCATTGTAGAAATCATCCGGGGTCGGTGGTGGAAGGTTGACATCGACTTGTGTGTGGTTTCTGGAATTATTATCAAATACAGAACCTGCACAATTTGGTGCTTGGCCTTTGTTCAAGTCTTGTTGCTCTGGGAAGTAGTCTGTGACAGCCGTTGTGTCATCCAGAACAGGAATGTCACCTGTAAGGGTCTTAAAAGCAAACTCGATGCAAGGATCTGACCAGATGTTTCCGAAAAGGGATTGAAAGGCCAATCCAGGCTGATCAGAACCTGTTTCAGTTGGAGCAACCTGTGGCGGCAAAGCAGGTTCTGCTGCTGCTGCATTGTGGAATCTAACATTTGCTGGAAAGCTTGCAACAGGTACTCCATTTATTGGCATGGAAACCGATGAGGCCTGAGTTTCAACATTTTTCCAGAAATCTGTAATAGGGGCTCCGCCATTCTGTTCAGGAGCCCAAGAGAAACCAGATTGCAGCATAGAATTTTCATCATAGTTTGGTTGCAAGTGATTGGTAGTGCTTTCCAGATCAATTTGTATTCGATCCCCAGTTTCTGATTGGCTCAGCTGAGGTTGCTTGGACAAATTTTCCTCAATTATCTGCATTTGAGTGGCACAGTCTACTTGACTTAAATATAAGTGATCATCAGTGTTTTCCTGATTGGTCTGTATTTGATTTGTAATGTCAGCTTTACTAATATGTGAATAATCAGTTGTGTATTCCTCAATACCTTGTACTGGAATGACTGTGTCTGTTAGGCTCGATTGTACTTGATCAGCAATGTATTCCTGATTGGCCTGTGTTTGATTTGTAGTGTCAGCTTTGCTCAGCTGTGAATAACCAGTAGCATATTCCTGAATAGCCGGTACCAGAATGACTGTGTCTGCTAGGCTCAACTGTACTTGATCGGCAGTGTTTTCCTCATTGGCCTGAATTTGGCCTGTAGTGTCAGTATTGCTTGGCTGTGAGTGACACGCTGTGCATTCTTCAATATCCCCTAATGAGATAACAGTGTCAGCTGGTAGGCTCGACTGGAATTGATTCCCAGTGAATTCCTGATCTGTGTGTACATGATCTATGTCTGGCTGGCTTGGCTGATCTATAGTGCATTCCTGTGTGATTTGTTTTGGAATCAAAGAATCTGTGAGCACCGATTGTAACTGATTGGCACTGTTTTCCTGCTTTTTCTGTGTAGGATTCAGAGTATCCAATTGGCTTGGTTGTGAATGAATGGTAGTGTTTTCCTGTATAGCCTGCACTCCATTAGCAGTGTCTGCTTGGCTCAACTGTAATTGACTGAAAGTGCTTTCCAGATTACCATGTATCTGATCAACGGAGCCTGATTGGCTTTTCTGTGTCTGATCGATGGCACTCTCTTCTATAGTCTGTACCCGATCCACATGATTTATGCTAACTATTTCATCTTCATGTTCGATGCTTACTTCAAGCTGCACATTCAATGCAGCTAAGCGGGGTGACGCTCGAACAGGAGTCACAGCAGAACTGGTTTTGCGCTTCTTGGATTTCACCTCTGCATTTGGTTCTTTCCTTTTAACAGATTTGGTTTGCCTTGAACCATTATGCGCAAAAACCGGTTGAACACTCATGTGTTCCGAAGTGTCAAGCTTGTTGCCATACCCTTGACTTGCTTTCAAGCTCTCAGGCTCTGGTAACACGGTATGTTCAGTATCATTTCCATTATATGGAGTAATTAGTTCCTCCCATGGCACCATGATACCATCCGAAGTTAATATTTCACACTGAATACCCTTATCTGCAGTACCAGGCCTCGTGTGTTGCGATGATGCACTTGTCTGATTCCACAAAATTATGTAATAGTAATCAGCGAACTTGAGGGGAAAAAACAAGCAGGCAGACATAAACAAAAAGAACTCTATCCAATCACCTATAGTTTCGTACATGGTATGTAAATTGAAATCATATTCAGAAATCACAAGGCATCTGAATCATGTGATCTGGTTACACCACAGGTGCATCCAAAGTAAAAACTCCAATTCTTCACAGGTGGCACAAAGAAAAACATGCACTTGCAATATCCTATTTTCCAAGGGGATAGTGAGGTCACCAGGATATGAGCAGTCACCAAAAGGCTGGTTTGCATGGCGTAGAAGACATCATAACTATGATATGACTCAACTCCCGAATACCCATCATGAACAGATACATGCAACTTGAGGTGTGCATCAGAGTTATGCTTCCTAGAATTTGTTTCTCTAATGTTTCTGATGGATGAATATATAGTAGTCAGACAAGGAAAGCTGCAAAGAACTCACATGAGTTTGACTTTCTGTCATATGAACTTCGAAGGTGGTGCTCTTCTTTGGTCTCACGGCGCATTGTCTAATATCTCCAGTTTCAAGATAGTGGTGCACATCCTTCAAAGAGCGAACTTCATATCCACTGACTGGATCAATGTAGTACTGCACAGATAAAAAAAATTAGAGGCCAAAAGAGCCAGTTCACTGAAAAATAAACAAAGCAATGTGAAGCAAAATAAGATTTATGGAAGACATTCTATAACATAGCAAACACAACGGTATGTAGTACCCGCAGTAGTAGCTATCTTTAGGTTTATTTTAAAATAGACACCATCACTCATAAGCTAAAACCTTTATCTAAGTAAACCATTGTTACTGTTATGGAACATGGAAGAAATAAATATTGAAGTTCATCTATGTTTTCCTCTCTTTCAAAAGGGAGACGATTTGTTATTTTAATATACAATAAGTACAAGGTATTTTTATTTCTTAATACTCAATTTCTATTCCAAATGAACATTGGTAATGACTTATATATGTTGTTTAGATAAAGGAAAAAAACACGAGGAAAGCGGGTCGTGACACCATACCAGATCCTGAAATGAACTGCTCTTCCTTGGCCTGTATTCTTTTTCGCCATCCATCAGGCAAACCCTCAACGACTCTTTCGTCCTCGCCACAGTCTACAAACAACAGATAAGTGTCAGTGTTGGACCTCTAAAATGCCTAAATAAGTTTTTTTTTTTTTGGGGGGGGTAGGTTTAGGTTTTCAGTTAGAAACTTGCTTACCTTGGCAGCCAATCTTCCACTGCCAAGGTTTAGGTTTTCAGTTAGAAACTTGCTTGCCTTGGCAGCCAATCTTCCACTGCCAAGGCCACTCCGTGTTCCAGCAACCTTGTCATTTTTCATCCATCCATCAGGCTGCCCCTTTGTGACTAGTTCAGCCTTGATTGGAACCTAGAAGAAACAAAAAGAGGTAATTTCTCAAAGTCCTTGTCATGTTGCATTATTAGATCACATGAAAAGGGGTGATTAGCTACAAATATCCATGCCTTGGCAGCAAGGCTTCCTCTGACAAGGCCACTTCGAGTTCCAAGAGGCGTGTCTTCCTTCAGCGACCCCTCAGCCAGCCCCTTAATGACTGATTTATCCTTGCTTAGAGTCTTGTAATGGAACAAAAGATGGCAATTTTTCACAATACTAGTCAAGCTGCACTCCTAAGTAAGATAAATAAAAGGGCAAACAAGAAAAATATGCATGCGATGCAGAATCGACAGACTTGTTACCCTGCACTGACATTAAATAGAGGGTGACGGAGGGTTTAGAATTTTTTGTACCTTAACAGTAGGGCTTCTTCTGACAAGTCCACTTCGCGTTCTAGAAGGCATATCTTCACTCAAACATCCATTGGGAAGCGCCCTCGTGCCTGATTCGTCAGCCTAGTATAGAATATGACAGGAAACTCTGACAAACATACAACAATGCACGAAAAACAAACAAAAATTGAGAAGTTGAAAAGTAGCATGCCTTGTCAGCAGAGCTCTGTCTAACAAGCCCATTTTGAGTTCTAGAAGGCATCTCTTCTTTCATCAATCCATCAGGAGACTCCTTCAAGACTGCTTCATCATTTATTATAGCCTAGCATGTAGGATACAAAAGTGTCAAATTCTAACATACTTGTCATGGTGCAGTCAATAATTTTGTGGTGGCTTCATACTGAATCAGAAACTTTTGTACCTCAACAATAGGAGGGCTACCTCTTACATGGTCACTTTGTGACATCGAACATGAACCATCACGGGACTCCACAAATCTCTTTATCCTTAGAAGCCCACTTCGAGTTCTAGAACTTGAAACATCACTGGAATCCACAAAGCTCTTTACTCTTAGAAGCCCACTTCGAGTTCTTGAACATGAAGCTCTACTGAGAGCAAAAATGCCTTTTTTCCTTACAAGCCCACTTCGTGTTCTAGAGCATGAACTTTTGTCAGAACCCATAATGCAGTTTACCCTGACAACCCCACCCTGAGTTTTAGGACATTGTCTCTCATCACAGGGCATAACACCACTCTTCCAAGCTACTTCAATTCAGAAAGACCTGCACAATTCCACCAAAACAACAAATGTCCTAAAAGCTGCATATGGAGACTATAAATTCATGATGACAAAATGCAGGACAGAAAAAGGCTTGTACTGAAACGTGAAATATATTATTCATGAAAATAGTTGCAATTAGTAACGGCGAATGGGTGATAATGTTCTCAGATCCTCGACAAGAGGAAATTAGAGTAAACCAGAGGGTAGGTAATTCAATTGTTAACGGAGTGGTTGATGCAACTATGTGCTTTTACTGTTTGATAAGAAACTTTTTTGCACAGTTAATTTTTCCCATGTAACTCAGTCTGCATACCGTGCGTCTGTTTTATAAGAAAACTTTTGTAGGATTTAAGAGTCTCATGATACAAAGCAAGTAATAAACAAGAAATGACAAGTTTAGGATTGACTTATTACACAATAGATCTATTGGGAATCGTTTACAACTGTACTCAAAATTTTTTCCAATGCATGTGTTCATAGAATGCAGTAAATCAAGGATAAAAGCATTGGCCATTAGTCAAAAGTTTTGTTAAGTGGGCCTAAACAGACCTGAAGGCCGGATTTCATCATACAGCCCCCATGCTCAGTTCATCTCTGCCCATCCACATTCCATCCATCCAGAGCACTAGTTATTATAGTTATAGTTCTACTTCTACAAACCAAAAAAATTAGACATTCTGAAGTTTGAACCCAAATTTCACGCGAACAGCTAATCACATGGTCCAGCAGGCACTAGCCATTACTAATCATCCTAACGTAAAGTTCTAATTTTCTATTCCTACACTGCCTATTGCACCAAATTGTGGCTCTGTTCTCAGATCCTCAACAGGACGAAATCAGAGTAAAGCAGAGGGCAGATAATTCATCAATTGTTATCGGAGGGAGTGGTTGAGGCTGCTGTGTGCTTTCAATGTTTATGATAAGAAGCTTTTCTACAGCGTCAATTTTCTCACAAAAGTCCATCTATATATCATGTTAGTGTTTTTTTCATAAGTAAACTTTGGTAGGATTCAAGAGTTTTATGAAACAAAGCAAGTAATAATAATAATAAACAAGAAACGACCAAGTTAAATCCATGGAGAGTCATATATACCACCGAGGCAAGAAATGTGGCAGCAAAAGTGTTCACAGAATGACCATTAGTTAGGCAAAACAAAAGCCAAAAGTTTAGGGCAGGTGGGCTTAAAACCGGCCTGAAGGCAGAATTTCATCATAGGAACAGCATGATGCTTACCTCACCACATCTCCCTTCATCCATCCATCCATTACTCCGCCCACCAGACCACTGGTTATACTTTTATATAAACGCTATAAAACTGGGCATCTCCAAACCCAAAATTTCACCCCGAACAGCAAATCACGTAGTCCTAGTACACTACGCACTAGCCTGGAACCCAAAAATGGAACTTGAATTCCTACTCATCCCGACCTAAAGTTACGATTTTTCTCGTACGCCACTGCTTACCGCACCGAATCTCTGCTCTAGCACCAGGAAATCAATCTTCTTCCCAGCCCGAAAATCCACTCCCCGAACACAACCGCACCCAGAAGCGCCGAGCCCCAATTCCCCAAACCACTCTCCCCATACACATGGAACCCCAATAAAAAGAACACAATGAATCCCGCACCAAACTGCCCAACCGAAACACACCGAACCTCCCGGTCCCGGAGGCCACCGAATCCCATCGCGTCCCAGCGTACGGCCACGCCCTCTCCACCCGTCACCCGAGAGCTCCGGAGGAGAGAGGGGACTGGGGAGGAAGGAGTGATAGAGGAGGGAGAGAGAGCACGGATGACTCACCGTCCCATCGGTACGGCGCGGCGGGTGGAGCTCCCGCGGCTAGGGTTAGGGTTCCGGCGGGGTGGGGGAGGCGAAGCGGTCGAGCCGTCGAGGCAGTGGAAGAAGAGTTTTTTTTTTTCTGTGCGTGCAGAGAGAAATGGAAGGGAGAGAGAGAGAGAGAGAGAGAGAGAGAGATGCGAAGGAGGAGTTGGGGACGGCAGCGGCACGCACGCACGCGTCACTCGTCAGCTGGCTCTACTCGCCTTTCCCTTCTTTTACCAAAACAGCGCACGCAAGCACACACTCTCTTTCTCTCGATCGCTAAATCGCCTTTATACGCTTGCTTGCACTGCCAATTCAGTGATGATTTGCTACTCTTTTCATCCATCCGCCGGATCTTCACCGTTTTCGTTGACCTACGACAAAAGGAAATGTGTCCATCTATGGAAATGTTCGATGGGCGGCAGCAGAGCGTCACGTGTAATAAAAATGCTTTTAAGAACTTAGTTTGCCATATCTGTGTATTCTTTGCTACGGTGGGAATAATACTAAGGAACAATATTTTATTCCACATCATATGTGTGTGCCCTTCAAGGATCCAATTCAATGGAATCAGTTATTCTATATAACATACCATCCTATAAACTAGCCATTGCTGCCCGCGCTTCGCTGCGGGTGATGTGTTTGGTATAGAAAAAATTTTGAGAAATATGGCTCATATGTCTAATATGTTTTCTCATCGCGTTGCTATAAAAAGTTGGTCTATTTGGTACATTAAATGGGAAAATATGGAAAGAAAAGGTAACGTGGTTTTTTTCATTACAATGTTGTAAATCAACATAGAGGTTGGTTGTCACTACATGGTTCATATTCTAGACCAGCAAATCAATGACATGTTAGTGGAAAAAAGTATTTGATGAAGTTAGGCTCAAGCAACTAACACATTTAGATTCAAAGCACAACATTGGCTAGGATTACATTACAGGTGGAAAGAACAAAAACTACAACACAAGTACGCCTCCTAACGCGAGGATATACAAAAGAGTGAGTTAGGATCCACTCCCCTTAGACGAAACTACAACACATTTCGTAAATCTAGAACTACACGAAAGATTACACGGCGTCGAACACTAAATTACACCGGGATTTAAAGTTACATGGTTAAGAGCAACCTAGTATAACCAATACTTACTCCAGAAGTCGGGATACACGAGGGCAATGGAGAAACAACAAGATAATAATTATCCAAAATATAGTGTATGACCAACAGGTGAGCATATTTAATGCCTCTCTTTTACATGCAAAGATTTTTCACACGCGTAGAGACGCCCGCTCCTCCTACAACTTTGCATGCCTACCGAGGCTTACCTTGCCAAGCACAACCAGCAGACACATTTATATATGTCCCGTGGTTGCCCGCGCATGCGTCCGCGCGCCAGGTGTGGGCTCTGCTGCGTACAGTACCCATCTGCATGCCTGGTGTTGAGATATGAAACACGTGGCCTCCACCTGCATACAAAGGAATCTTTTTAGCGTTCAAACTTTAAACTGTAACACTTCGGGTGTTAGCCTTGCATAACTTGACTTGCATAACATGAGCATGAGCATCAAGCATTCATAAATCATCATTTACAATTGAAACATGTGATCGAAACATATGAAACATTGCTTGTTATCTCGTGTTTCTTGGAACATATGCATATGATCATGTGCAAATGAATGCAAGTGGGTAATGTTAGTCACTAAAACACCTTAGCTACACTTAGGTTAACAAAAGGAACCTTGTTCATGAAGGTCACCTTTCATGATCAAGCACTTAAGTAATATTACATGTGTTGACCTGGATAGCTCTATGAGTGACTACTACATGAAATGCTTAAATGACCTTGCAAATTGCTTAAACATGCTTAGAGTATCATCAGGAACAACTTTGGTATTTAGGGCTAGGGCTAGTTTGGTCATTAAGCCATGCTTTGATGTGTTTCATCTTTTAAATGTGACATGTTTGACCAATTTGGAACTAGGTGTTAGAGACCTTGCATGGAGGAGTTCACTAAAGCAAAGTTGTAGTGTTTGACATAAGGAACAACTTTTATTTTTGGGTCATTGACTGATTCAGCTCCTAACATGTTTGAAATTGGATCACAAGAATCATCAAAATCTTGATTTCAACACTTAAGAAATTTTTCTAAGTCAAGTTCATTGAACAGCCTGACAAGCTGACCTTCATGGCAATATAACTTGAATTCGGTTGAGAATTGAAACACGATTATTGAACAAGAGTTGAAGCTGGTACATAGGGCTAGGATTTTTGTTAAGGCGGTTTACGAGTTGGAGCCACTGTTTAGCAGATAAGTCGACTTGAAAACTCACTGTCAGGCTCAACTTCGGGACTTTAATCGACGAATCGAATCGTTTGATTGGTCGATCGGCTTCAGCCAGAGACGCCGCTGCGTGGCGCTGGAAACGGTCGTAGCGTCATTGCCGGTCTGTCTGCCAGTGAGCCCACGACGCCGCCAAGGCGCGCGCTTTAACCGCCCCGGCCGCTTCGCGCACGACTTCACCACGCCCCATTTCGCAGACTGTCGGCTCTCCTTCGTCGCTTCGTTGCAGCTTGCAGTCACTGCAAGACCGCTGTCGCCACCGTCGTTGCCGAGCCCACCGCTTGTCCAGCCCTCCTCCATCACCAAATCCCACCACCGTCTCCCCAAGCACCACATTGCTTCTCCCAGTGCTTGCCGTCCGAGTTCGGTAAGCCCCAGCGCCGTGCAACGCCTCGCCGGAGCTCCTCCGCCACCCTCCGTCGCCGTGGCCAGGCCCAACCCGACCACCGTAGGCCACGATAGCGCGAGCAATAGCTTCCTTGTAGTCCACTGATGCTTGTCCACGCGTTAATTTGAGTCACCATGGCATCCTCCGACGTGCCGCCGTCGTTCCGCCCCGCCATGCCGCCATTGTAGCCGCCGTAGCCACTAGCTCCGACGAGAAGGCCACCCAAGTAGCTCAATCGATGTGCCAGGTCAAGTAGATCATCGTGTGATGATGTCACCGCCGGCGACCTCGCCGTCGGCGAGCTCTAGCCGCGCCAGCGCTGTGCAGCGCCGCTGCCCTGTTTCGTGTCACTGACGCATGGGGTCCCCTGACCCGCGGGTCCCACCGGTCAGCGACAGCAGTGTTGAGGGCTAGTTCAAATATTCCAGTTTTTTATTTGTTTTGTGAATTTTGTATCTTCAGTTTGGTAGCTCCTAAATTTGTGAAATAAATTTTGTAGTGTTCCTTAGGAAGTGTAGTATTTAGGAAAAATATGTTTTTAACATTTACAGTAGAAAGTTTTGGAGATTTAAATAGGGATTTGAAATGTGCTTTGAATGCATTCAAATTTGTTTATTTTATATCTAGAGTTCTGTGCTCAAAAATTATGAAATTTTTTGTGGTAAGCTAATCTTAGCATATATGAGCTCTGGTAAAAATTTGGGGACCAGTGCATGGGTAGATTTATAGTTATATATTTTTCTTTTATGGATAGTCAATCCTTGCATAAATTTTATATAAATTATTTATGAGTCCAAAATTCATGAAATTTGTTGGAGGTAATCCTAGTACCATATGGATGCTAAGAAAAATAGGAAATCTGTTGCTTGACACTTTTCAATAGGGTTTTCCATTTATGCTATTTCAAGTCTTCTTTGCCTTATCATTTTTGTATAGAATGTTCTACTTAGTAAAATGACATGAAATTTCTATAGCAGTCCTTTGATAGCATTAGTAAGGCACTGTAAATTTTTGAGAATTTATGAAGTATATCTGATATATGTTTATTATTTAACCTAGATATCTAAATAAAATAATAAAGGCAATTTAATAAATAGTTTGGGCTTCATCATTATATTATCTTAAATGTATTTGGTATGCTTAAACTGTTGGTAGATTCTATGTTGTCAAATTTTGAATGATTACATGAAGTAGAAGTATTATTACTTTATGTTGCATATTAAATAGTTTCCGGACTGATTCTAGAGTTTGATGAGTTGCATGTTGAAAATGATGTGTACTGTAAAAATGGTTAATAACAAAGTTGTAGAGAATTTGATAAGATTTCCAGAAAGTCCAGGATCACTGGATTTGGATTTGTAGAACTCCCGTTATGAGTGAAACAAGTAGCTGCTATTTTATGGTATAATCGATGCATTATGGAAGTAGATAATTAAATAACCGAGAAGAGATATGCACCTACTCAATTAACATGATGCACTTGTTAACATATATGCATTCGTAATACTTATGCCATACTCATGCATCTAGGATCGGAGGAAGAGATCACGTTGCTGGAATTCGAAGAAGCAGAGGAAGGGAATCAGCAGGAGGATCCGCAAGCCGCAGCTCCCGAAGGCGTGGAGCAGAACCCTGAAGAGCTTCCGGAGTGTCCCGACCACCGCGCCCTACTTCCTTTTCTGCGAGGCAAGCCCGGAGCATTATAAAGTCCCAAGAATTTACAAATGTTTACTTACGTATTTATGATTGATGCATTAGGTTATAAGAGTTGAATGAAACCACTTGATGCATGTACATTCCTTGTCCAAATATTATACCTTTAACCGGTATAGGTCCAGGATCGAATAAATGCTTAGCCATGCTTAGACCGGTAGAAGTCGGGTGATATCCTGTCACCTGCGAGATATAGGTGGATATCGGAGCACGGTTGGCTATATCTGCCATCGTGGAACAGAACCATGAGGTAAAAGTAAATCGAGACCGGACGAGAGGTCGATAGAGAAGCAACAAGACATGGAGGTCTTGGGTGTGGATCTATCCCCGTCTGTGTCGATCAAGGACCGTACCGTTGTTGGAACTTCTGACAAGATTGAACGCATGCCTCTCACTTAGCTGGCCGGATAACTCGTTCCGACCGCAAGCCGAGTAATTCAACTCAGGCCGGGAATCGTTCTGTTGTGCGCTCCTTCCGGGGAACGATCAGACTGAGCCCAAGGGTAGGCTTGGCCTGAGCATCCTGGCATCTGGTGTTCCAGAT